ACATCACTGGATGGATCACTGAAAATCAGTGAAGACAGCGGGTGTTCGCGAAAAGCGTAAGCACGTCTTTCCCTATCGGTACCAATGTCTTCCATATATGAACAAGGTGATTCAGCACGTTACTTGTATGTTACAATGTGGCAAAGAAAACGACAAAGTTTTATTTGTAATCCTGATCAAATCTCCAGAATGGGTGGGCGGGTGCTACTCACAATCAGAAGCATAGTCTGTATCTCCAGGTAGAATATGCCACGGGTCGTCAAGAATGAAATCAGGTTAATTTGCAGTTCAGAGATTAAAGTCTCCGCATATTATGAATTTGCACATATCCTCAGATATGTATGGAAGCTGTAGAAGTGTATTGTGTAAAATATCTATTCCAATATCTTCTGTGAGTTCCTATGTCAGGGAAACGTATTGGTGTACATATACATGCAAGTAGTGTATGTTCCAAGTACAAATATTGTTCATATAAGTAATTTCAATTGGTTTATCACACTCACTGGAAGAAGTGTTATTTTCAGTGGAGCCACGGTTACACTTATTTAAATCCACTGTTTGAAGATAAGACGCTGATCAACATATCGGATGTTCTGTATCTCCATCCTAGTTCACAGAGAATGGGACAATAAGGTTGCACTTTTATCCTATCCCATTGTCTTTTTCAACAATACAACATGTTTAAACTAAACATACACTTTGCCTTCTAAGCTTACAAACCGATCAGTACCCATGAATATATGGGTAAGAATTGATCCCTGGCTTGCTTGATACGTCATCGTGTCCAGAATATGTAGATGGTTCCTGATTTAGCATGAAGACGGTGAGCCGTATCAATTTGAATGGAATCAGCAGAACCCATCAGTGCTTCTCTTATAAAATCTCTCACTTTCTGCTCGATGTCATCCCACGTTCTTATATATACTGATGGGAATAAATAAGGGAACAGTTAGTTTTAGCGACAGTAAAGTGATAGGCTATCTTTTTTTTTTAGTTTCTTTTTTTAGTTAATATAACATATTTATTGACTGTTGAATGTGTTGCAACTAATACTTGAACCTGACATTCTTAGGCTAGATATAGTTCATGGTTGTACACCCCGGATAGAATTACACGGGGAATAAATTGGACCTGCACGCTCAGTCAGGTGTAACCACTAATACCTTCTGTAAACATCAAGCTGCTGGCAAAGTGAGGGTAACCCCCCCGGCGTACCATCAACTCATCAAAGACCCCAATCAGCTATAATCCCGTTGTTTATATTACTGGCTTCATCGTTTGTTTATGTCACTGACTTCACCGATGATTGTCATCACTACCCTTGTGTGTACATAACAGGCTTCTCCACTCCAGTAAAACAATATCTACTCTACTGTAGAAACATTGCCACCCACTTGTATATATACTTGCCAACCACATTCACTGCTCCTCTATTTCTGAGAGATGGACAGCTACTCGAATGTATATAAACAGAGCAGCCAAGGATAAAAATGAAATCATATCAATATAAGAAAATAGAAATCATATCAATACAAAAACAGAAATGTGAACACCAAACTCACAATAGATTTGTGTACCCTTCTCACACACAGGAGTCCCAAAGAGGAACAGGTCAGCCGAAGTTGCCTAGGCAGAAGGCGACCTCTTAAACACTTAATGCAACAACAACTCAATGCTTGATAGCGGTGTTAGAACCTACACCGAAACGTCGCTCTTAATTGTAATAAAGAAGTTGTTCATCCATAAATTCATATCCTTACGGAGTACGCCAACTTCTAAATGCCAATCAAAGAAGATATAATCATGTACAGCATCGAGTGTACAAATATTCAGACAGATTTTAGTTTTCCACGGAAATAGTTTCAAGACCTATTGTCTCAGCTCTCTGGTTATGGTCACGAAATATATTGAGTGAGTGAGTTAATATTTAAAGTCTAAATATATTGACACATACGTAAAGGCAGTCGTCCCATCCAGTGACATTCACGACGAAACACATACCATTTCTATATTAGTATATCAAGGTACACGTGTTTGTCAATAAAAGAACACTGCAATTTCATCTTTACTATCTGTCCGAGATGAAAAGTAAAAAAAACCGTCAAGAAATGTTAAACGAATGCCCATGCTCACCACAAAACGCAGCCCATTCATACAGGATGAATTTTCCCATGATTTCTAAACAGCAAGCGAGGCGAACCTGTATTCACAATCCTAATACGTCAAACCCAACATTGATATCTTCCTTTTTTCAGCGACCTATGGAACGAGTTGTTTAGGGTTACAGTACCCTGTTTAGAGACAATACATCAGTCACTGAACCACTTTAACGACCTTAGACACGAGAGAGAGAGGTTCGTGTGGTGCGCTGAAGGTAATCAGACCGGAGAGTGTGGCCAGCCGAGCAAACAGTTTTAACCGTTCAGAGTGAGTGATTGAGTGAGATGGGTTTAACGCCGCTTTTAACAGTATTCCAGTTATATCACGGCGTGTCAGCTTAATGTGGGAGGAAAGCCCGAAGTGATGCAGGTCTCAGACGTTTACAACTTCGGTGAAACCCACGAGCACGAGTATGGTGCTGACAAACCTAGAAACATAATCAGGGCGAACCGGGATTCGAACCCACAATCATAGATTTCCGGGGAGCCCAAGGGACGCAACTCTGCACAGCGAATTGCGGCGCCTTAGACGACTGGGCCACCCGTGCCCCCTTAACCGTTCGGACAATAGACATGGTTGAAGTTGTTTCGTATGATCAAATATGTATTTAAATACACATTTGCAAACACGTAAAACCTGATATATTCTTCCTCATATACACTTCTTCAAAACAGAATTGAGAATCATCCCTGTACTCGAGATAATTCATTTTTCAAATTGTATCGTACAGGAATCGAAAAAATATATCTTATATGCTCTGCATGCAGTTTAGTGATCATGATATTATTAAGCATGTCTTTTTGTATTGTACATTGAATATGAATGACAGAAATGAACTATTTGAAATCATTTGTGATGTGATAGATGTCTCTACATTTGCAAGACTATGTAGTGAGGACGATGATATCATCCTGTCTGTACTACTTGGCGGTATGCCTGAGTGTGTTAGCTCTTTATCTCAAAGTCAATGGGGTGATCTTATGGTTATTGTGTCAAGATACTGTAGGAAATGGCTGTATCTGTTACAAAACACTTATAAGAATGCTGGATTGCCATGCATTTTGTAGTTATCATTTCTCATAATATTGTTCAATTGTACTACTGTGCAGCTCTGTAATTATACCTAATATCATATATGATATGTATCTTCAATATCTGGAGGAAATAAAGAATATCTATCTATCTGTGGAAAATATGTTCGAGAAGAGATGCCATGTTCATACAAAATAACCTGGTCATATATATACTGCTACCAGCACAAATGCGGCCATAAGAAACCCAGAATTCCATGCTGTATGGTACTTCCAGAGAAGGAAGCCAAGCATGATAATAGAATGTGTGTTCCTGTGATGAAAGTCTTGTTCAAAGTCCAAGTTTTAAAACTAACAATTTTTACAGGTGACAGATGTGATGTTTCGTCCCTAAACTTTCAGATAACAGTTCGCACAAATATGTCTTCTAGAAATATTCAAAAACGTCCTTTTGGAATATACCCAGTAAATTTCTTGCTTCATCATTTTTCTTCTTCTGTTTCATTATTCCTTCCATATTAACATAGTCGCAGATTGGACACCATTTCTCGTGTTCTACCAATGGATCGTTCGTGGCTTCCCATTCTGTAAAATCATAACGTCTTTCGAGTGAATATTCCTATGGTTGTATGTTTCACGAAGTCGTAGTTTGTCTGTACAAGATAAAGTCAATCAGTACTTGGACACGGGCATGTCTTATGTCAAAGATGATCACGTGATTGAAACGTGGATTCAACTGGTTCGAGATAAACAATCTTTCATAGCCATGTCAGCATCTGTTTTATGTCAATATCAATGTACAGATTATCGCGATGCGTTTTTAAGACAGCTCAATGTATCGACCAGTTAAGTGTGAGTGCGTTTGATTTTACGCCGCTTTTAGCAATATTCCGGCAATATCACGGCGGGGACACCAGAAATGGGCTTCACACATTGTACTCATGTCGGGAATCGAACCCGGGTGTTCGACGTGACGAGCGAACGCTTTAACCACAAGGCTACCCGACCGCCCCTTGACCAGTTAAGGAACCGTGTTGTAAAAATGTTGCAATTAGAACGAGTGTTTAGATGGATGCCAGTATAAGTTTACGAAATTAACCCCCATAATCCCGGCGTGTCCTTTGGTTTGGTTAACCTTAACAAGCATAAGATAAACAGAGAAAACAGTTTCATCTACAAAAGAAGTTGTTCTAGATTTCCTTTATTTGTAATACAGGAGTGAGTGAGTGAATATTGTTTTACGCCGCTGTTAGCAATATTCCAGGAATGTCACGGCGGGGGACACCAGAATTAGGCTTCACACATGTTACCCATAATAGAAGGTTTCACCGCCGTCATATAGCTGGAATATTGCTGAGTGTGGCGTTAAACAACAAACAAACAAACAACAAATCATAATGGGTTTCGAGGGACATTTTATCTTGTCTTCGATCCACACTTAGCTCCACACTTAGTTAATAAATCTGGCAAATATTTGCCCGTTTTCACCATGTGTAAACTTGGATGAACACCTGTAGCGAACTTAAACTTGCTGACCTGCTGTCTGCTGTATAGGTAACCTATACCTAACAAGTATGCTACAAGACGTGCTACTCCATGTATAACTCTGTAATGTCATATACTGAATTGAATAAAAAATATTTTAAAAAAAAGAAAAGTATAATACAAAACAATTGGTGTCCCCGGGAGATAGCTTGTACATTTATGGACTCTGACATCCGTTGCTGTGGATACCGTTTTCTTTTAAATGTCATTCCTCTCATCACATGAAAGATACGAGCACACACGAACTGCATGCCGACTTCTTACCTTTTATTTCTTGTCCAGTTATGTTCAGTTTGGACCTTGCTCCTGTCTCCATAGGTACTCCTGTGCCTTTGTAGTGGGGTGATGTGGGTGAGAGTTGTCAGGCACCTGAGTGCTACTCGGTTGAAACAGTATTTATCAGAAATGTTGGTACGGGTCAAATCAGGTTGAGTTGACGGGATATTCTGCTTCTTTGTCCAGAGTCATTGTTACAATGGCGTTCCTCTTCACTGTCGGCCTGCGGGGTACAGTTACCCTTCTATTAGGGCGTTGGGCTGCTTCGTTATACCCTCTCACGAAGTGGCCCTAGTTTTGAGGATAAATACGCCTGGTAAACAAGCCTACCTGATGTCTTTTGACTGGGGAATTCAATAGGGTCACATAATGATTTCCAGAGCAATCTCACGCGACGCTCTACCTCTCGGAAACACTATTCACATTGTTGTGATAGCGGGTATGTTTAAACATTTGAGAGATGCCTTCATCATGTTTTATTTAGACACCAGGACATCTGCAACAAGCATGCTGTTGTCCCGGGCGTCGAAACAACTTTCATCTTGTATACTGGAAGGAATGCATTTCACATAATGTCCCATCAGGTTAAGTATTACTGATACTATCTGTACTCATATAGAGGTTGCCACACAGTGTAACACCTAACGATGTCCCCATGTACTGGTTTAATGCGTCCTCTTTGTAGTATCTGATAAGCGAACACACACTCCGTCGCAGTGGTGACTCAGCATAACACCACTGCCACAGGTTAATTTGCATATCACGTGACCGAACTTTTCTCTTGTTTGTAAACAAACGCGCTTTTTCAGAAATCAGTATAGAACGGACTAATGCAAGTATTTGGGGGCGCTTTACATATTGTTTTGCATAACTATATATATATATATGCTACTACAACTGCGACAGTGAGTTGCATGACAATATATATTTATGCTTCAAAGTGACCGTGTCGCTTGCTCTCCGTTGGGCTTCGATGACAGCACGTGGAGGCGTACAACCAATGTAAACATAGGATAACTTCGCAAAAACAAGTAGATTTTTACGTATTTGCATACTTTCTCAATGAAAGTTAACCATTCTCTGACATTTGTTTATGAAAATGTGTAGACTTGTCAAACATGAAACGGATGAAAAGCATATGCAATATCTTGAATGGACTGTGAAAGATGTGACGAAACGTCACATGGCGCTGGCCTGTGGCAGAGGTACTATGCTAGCTGGCTGCCGGCCGCATGGAACTCTGGGTAGGAGAGTGAAGCGAACAGAGTCTTTTCACAAACAATTGGCCCTACTAAGATAGGATTAGAAGGGATGGTAAACTTGAATGGTACAGTCGTATCATGTATCTGTTGAGGTGGGGGGTGAGGGTTGGGGAGGGGCCTTATGCATCTGTCTTTTGTCTCTGCCTATTATCCCATATGTTAACAAGTTTCCAACATGCTGGACAAAATGTCAAAGGTTGGTTGGTTGTTTTGTTGATTAACGCCGCACTCAGCAATATTCCAGCTATATGACGGCGGTCTGTAAACTATCGAGTCTGGACCAGGCAATCCAGTGATTAATATCATGAGTATCGATCCACGCCATTGGAATCGATGACATGCATCAACCAAGTCAGCGAGCCTGACCACCCGATCCCGTTAGTCGCCTCTTACGACAAGCATAGTCGCCTTTTACGGCAAGCATTGGTTGCTGAAGACCTATTCTACCCCGGAATCTTCACGGACCTGAGTAACTGGGTCTCAGTAAGTCTTTGCTATTTAAAGTGGTGCTGGTTTTCTGGTTTCTGGTGGCCTAATCTGTGCGCGAAGTGGCAGGTGAACGGTTTTATTGTTTCTGACCATGGCGTCTAATTTCTACACACAGAAACATGGTACTTCCACGTGCTGTTGTCACGTCTCATTGGATCTTTAAATCTCAACCATGATTCCCTCAACGACCGATTGCATCATTGATCTTTAAATAATTGAGTGAGTGAGTGAGTTGGGTTTAACGCCGCTTTTAACAGTATTCCAGTTATATCGCGGCGTGTCAGCTTAATGTGTGAGGAAAGCCCGAAGTGATGCAGGTCTCAGACGGTGAAACCCACGAGCACGGGTATGGTGCTGAAACACCTAGAAACATAATCAGGGCGAACCGGGATTCGAACCCACAATCAAAGGTTTCTGGTGTGCCCAAGGGATGCAACTCTGCACATGTGTCCATTCATAAGGCTGAGTAGATAGTGATGTATTGTCTTTAACAAGATGTATTGAACTGTTACTTAAAGGACTTGTTCAATAAGTCGGTGAAGGGGGAAGATTGGTAATACATAGTTTACCGTATATCACAGTGGGCTTTTGACGTATGGATTGTGAACATAGTTTCGTATCGTCACAGTTGTGTCGAAATCACGGAATATGGGATATCCAATATAAATGATAGGCCTTTCACGGAAAATGCGACCGCCTCCGTGGTCCGTGGTAGAGTGTCCGCCCGGAGAGAGGAAGGTCCGGGGCTCGACCCCCGGCTGCGTCATACCAAAAGACGCTAGAAGATGGTACTTGTTGTTACCCTGTCTGGCGCTCGGCATTCAGAGGCTAAAACAAGGACTGTTCGCCTCGGACTCAGTATGCTGTGTCTGAGTCGGGTATTCATGTTAAACTGCGGCATGGTATCTCAATGGGCTAGCACTATAAATCGGCATCAGTCCGGACTAGTACAAGCAGCCACACACACACGTGCAGGCACGTCGCTGTATAAGTGCAATAATCTTGGACGCGACGTTAAACCCAATTTCACCTCACCTCACCTCATGGAAAATGCCTCTTAATTAAATCAGTACTGGTGAGCATGTTCATTCGTATAGCAATTCCTGAAATCTATGAAATCTGTGTTCGCTTGATGCTACACATGACGTTTTCGTTTCACAGTTAAAAAAACAAGACTATTTTTTACGAACACCGTATGTTTTTACCGAATTGGGCTGAGTTGCTCAAGATTCTCCTTATCCGACTCGAAATGTATTGACATAAAGTCCGGCTTTTGTTGGCGAAGGTTAGGTCTGTTTGCATTCGTCAGTGGGTTTCATAGGGTGGCAGTCCTGGTCGTTTAACAAAGCGGACGGGTTATCAGACGGGAATTTCAGCCATTCCTCTCGGCAGTAATGCACGTTTATATACTTTATCTTATTATTCGTTAAGAATTTGTTTACGACTCATTGCATAAAAACAAGGGTTGCGTTGTTTATCTTGAAGATCTCTGACCTCTGCAAATGTTAACTTGGTCCCCGTGCACACTGTGACAGATTGCTAGCTAGATAACTACCCCTGCTTGCTGGGTACAACAAGTACCATCCTGTAACGTATTTTGGTATAAAGCGGCTAGGGAATCGAACCACAGATCTTCAGCTATCAGAACAGTCGCTCATTCAACTACACCACTCAGGGAGGCGTTTCTGATCAGAAGAGGATCGAAAACATATTTATTGTCCTCGAAAATGCTTGAAAAGATAATTCTGCTACAGACTGTTTTAAACAACCGAAATCGTCTACCACAAATGTTAGGTTGTTACGAGGTGTTTTTAAATAGATTTATTTGATTATATCGATTATACTAGACAGAAATGTGTCTGAACAAACACCTAGTCTTCATACAAAGTCCAAGACCTTATATTCACACTCACACACACACACACACACACACACACACACACACACACACACACACACACACACACACACACACACACACACACTCACACACACTCACACACACCACACTCACACACACACACACTCTCACTCACACACACTCTCACTCACACACACATACACATGGTAGGATTGTGTAATCACTGCAAATGTCGTCTCTGTTAGTCCTAATGACATTCTGTAAGTCAATCTGTTAGCGGTAACGCCTAGAATCGTTGGCCACTTGTCAAGTAGAATAAGATACGGGGATGTATAACAAGGACTGTATTCCTGTTTTACGACTTCAAGCTATTCCTGATGGCATTTTTGAATAGTTCTGTCTTAAACTATGACGTCACTACCTTGTTACTACGTTGCGTGACGTCATAGCACTGAATGAAGTCATCAGTAGGATGTCGCAATACGTTAGAAATTGAGGAAAATGCGGACATTTACAGGTTTTTATCATTTTGATGAACAATATACTCACTAACCTATATGATATGATATTATGATATGTTTTTTAGATCAGCGTTCATTCATATATGGTTAAACTATTTTAAAATGTTAAATACTGTTGATTATAATTAACAAATGTTATATTTGGGATTACACTTTCTTCGTAAAGTACAAATTCTAGTACTTGAAGGGGGTTGAGTTCCATCCGCGATTCGAACCCACACTCTCAGAGTATTAATCATAATGTTGTGCAAACCTAGAAAGATGACTGGTGATTTCCCCGATAGGCCTCAATAGTAAATACCTTTATGTGTAACTATGGTTTGTTTTAACTAAATGTCCCTGGAGCAATATAAATAGAGGTTATCACGCGAGTGTGTTTGGGGATGGTACATACCCTGCATTAGGAATAAACATTGTATTAAGCGAGCCTTGGCGAGCTAAATACATAGTGTTTATTCCTAATACAGAATATCTACCATCCCCAAACACACAAGCGTGATAACCTCTTTATCATATGTCATTCTTAAAATTCTGTGCTTCAAAATCGCTTTCCCTGTCTCACAAACATTACCGAAACATTGCGAGTTTTCCTGGAATGCGCACATTAATATTTATTACGTCACAGGGTAAGTGATGTGTCAGTCGGACAGTGACAGTAGCCAATATAGTTCCAACTGAAATCTGTTTCTTATACAGTGGCGAAGCAACATATACGCAAAACAACAATTGTTTGTAATTGCCTTTCGCGGCAATCCATCGTTCTGCCCGCTAGAGTAACTGCCCTTTGTCAAAGGGAAGCTACTCTACCCCTAGTCTATGAAACGTCACGGCCACGGTCAGACGTTGTTGACAGTCGGTCTGTCCTGTCTTAACGTTAAGAAGTGTAGTCAGATGTACACACAGCGACAAAACGAAACAATTTTAAGGTACCAATACAAACATATTTCAGCCAAATCCAACTATTTTAATTTGTGGAGAAGGTTTCAAGCCGCAGAGGTCTACAGGCACAGATATGACTACTGATCCCGCTTGGCTAGGCCTCGTGCCCTCGCAAAATTATTTCGAAATTTATATCTCCAAAGTTGCCAAAACTTATAAAATGCCTTAGCTACGTCACAGTTAGACACTGATTTTCAGTATATTAGACTGTTGTTTTGA